TGAAGATCTGGTCCATATCATTATCTTTGAGATTCTTCTCCTTCCTGTTTCCTATGATGAGTTAAGTTTGGTCTTTTTATGGTGTCACACAATTCCTACATATTCCATTCTTGTGTTTTCTTAAATTTTTCATAATCTTTGCTTAATGGTCTAATTCATCTACTTTATCTTCCAGTCTTGGTATTCTGTTTTCCATTTCATTCATCCTATTGGTGAATAGGATGTCATTTCTAATTGGCTTACTGAGTGTTTCGCTTCCTTCTTCATTTCTTCAATACTTGTAACTCTTCCGAATGAATTCAGAAGTGTATCCCTATCTTCTTTCAGTTCTTTGATTTCTTTGTGGGTTCTTTAAATTCACTGAATTCTTTTATCATGTTTATAATTGTTCTTTTGAATTCATGTCCTGTGTTAATCTCTAGGGAGTTCTCATTGTACTCCTCTACAGGAGTGTTAGTACTTGGTGTGGATATATTATTTGGATTTTTCATGTTATTATTTTTTCTCTGTGACTTTGACATGTGGACTTCTTTTGTAGTTACTGATTCTTGTATGAGACTCAAGCTTTCCTTTGTTGAGTTTAGGTCTGCTTCTTTTTGTAAACTTTATGTGCCTTTGTGGTTTACTTGTTGGGCATGAAAAGATGGTTGGTCTAGGCTTCAGGTTTTCTCTTTTGGTTTTATATTGGAGGAGCCAGATGGCTTTTGTCCTGCTGCTCAGGAGTTCCACAGAGGCCCAAGTCAGATGAGGATCAGATGTTTCTGGCTTTCTCCTAAGGTCTGGATCCCTCCAGGAAAGATGCTGGCCTCAGGAAGGTGGGGACTGGGCTGGCCTGGGATGAGGGCCTGTCTCCCAAGGTGGGGGAAGGAGGGCTCCAGGGGACTAGACAGAGGAATTGGGTTGCTCTGGCTGCAAAGGGTCAGGAAGCAATGGGGAGCCTGGACCAAGAGGGCAGTCCAGAGGTCTGAGGTGCCAAGAGAAGAAATGGGCCAGTGCCCACACTAGGAGGAGAGATGGGATGGGGAAGCTGGGAGGGTGAATGAGGCTGGAGGAGTCAAGGCGCAGTGGGCATGGCCGAATTTACCTAGGAGAGAAGCTGGCCCCAGGAAGCTGGGGGCTGGGCTGCCCAGGGATGCAAAGGTGAGGTGAGGGAGGGAACCCCCTCCTCAATGCAAAGGTGAGGTGAGGGAGGCCCAAGGGCTCCCAGGCACTAGATGGGGGAATTCAGTTGGTCTGGGTGGAAAGGATCAGGAAGCAGTGGGGAGCCTGGGCCAAGAGGGCAGTCCAGAGGTCGGGGTGCCAAGAGAAGAAATGGGTCAGTGCCCACTCTAGGAGGATAGACAGGTGGGGAAGCTGGGAGGGTGAATGAGGCTGGGGGAGTCAAGGAGCAATGGGCATGGCTGAACTTACCCAGAAAAGATGCTGGACCCCCTAAATTAACACCTACCAGTTTTCAACATACCCTTCCTAGTGAAACTAATATAAATAGCATTTTGCAAAACTAAGCAAACTATATTAATCACAGTAACAAGTTATACTGAACTGACTGTAGTGAATTGAGCAAACTCCTCCATCATTAAAAAACTTAGTGGCTGGATGTGGTGGTACACATCTGTAATCCCAGCACTCAGGAGTCAGAAGCAAGAGGGTCAGTACAAGTTTGAGGCCAGCCAGGGCTACAGAGTGAGGGCTTCTCTCAAAAAACAACAAAGAAAGTCTTAGTATTTTTAGTTCATTAAATAAAAGTAAGTTACCATGATCAACATTTTTTTTTTAAAAAGACAACTTCTTTTCCTATAGTTTAGTGTAAAGAAGTTAAGATAGGTACTGTTTCACACACCATACTGGAGAAATAATAAAGTTTATACGAAATCTTAAATTAATATTAAGTAACTAAACTTACATAATAAAGCTTTGTGAGAGGTCTAATTTTGTTTACAGTACGTTTTTGGTTCCTTTTAAACATATTATTATTTTTATTTTATGTGTATGAGTGTATTGCCTACATGTATGTGAGTACACCCGTGCCATGCAATGCCTCGGAGGTCAGAAGAGGGCTTTGGATTCCCCTGGAACTGGAGTTAAGGACAGTTTGTAGCTGCCATGTGGGTGCTGGGAATCGAACCTGGGTCCTCTGCAAGAACAGTCAGTGCTCTTAACCACTGAGCCAACTCTCCAGTCCTGATATTTTGGGTTCCTTTTAAAGAGCCTTGGGTGGTTTACACCAAAGGAACTGTGCTTCTTCCCCCTTGGCAGACCTCAGAATTGCTGATAGATCAATTGGTGAGCCATGACAATGTTGTAGGGGTAGTGAGGAGAGCAATTTATAGCTCAACATGCTGAGCATCAGGCCAGACTTGAATGGAGAATAAGTTTTGTGTAATTGCATTGTAGGCGTGGCAAGTCTGCATATGGTCAATACTGAATTGTTCAGAGGTGGTGGGCAAGATGGCTGACTGATTTTGAGACATATTAAAATTTTTTTTTTGGTCTTTTTGAGACAAGGTATCCCTATAGCCCCAGCTGTCCTGGAACTCACTATGTAGACCAGGCTGGCCTTGAACTCACCGAGATCCTCCTGCCTCTGCCTCCCGAGTGCTGGGATTAAAGGCATGCATCACCATGCCCAGCCCTGAGACATATTAATTTTATGTTAATGTGTCAATCTATAGCTCCCAGAAAGAGAATTCCCTATGGAATGTTTAGTTATTGAGCCAAATCTACAGTTTTTAGAGTTTTTTGTTTTGTTTTGGTTTTTGACTTGGTTTGGTTTGATTTAGTTTTTTGAGATAAGGTCTCATGTACACCCAGCTGGCCTTGAATTCCTGATCTTGAGCCTCTTGCCTTTGCCTCCAAAGTGCTGAGATTTCAGGCATTTACCAGCATACCAGTCCTATCACAGTTCTTTAAAATTTTCCAAAATACATGGAAATTACACAGCTGATTTTCACTTACTGTCCCAAGTCCTGCATGCATAGTTCTAATATAGACATGATGTGTTGGAGTCAGTTACAATGGAAGAGATGGCACAATTGTCTCTGTTCTCTTATTATAAATGAATATATGATGTATATTTCAAAAGAAATAAGATAATGTGGAAGGAAAACAAAAGCTGCCTACTATACTCTAGCTGGGGTTGAATGCAATCATTTGATTTCTTATTCTTTTTGGTTTTTTTTTGGGGGGGTTCTTTTTGAGACAGGGTCTCCCTGTAGCCCCAGCTGGCCTGGAACTTGCAATGTAGACCAGGCTGGCCTTGAACTCACAGAGCTCCACCTGCTTCTACCTCCCAGGTGCTGGGATTAAAGGTGAGCACCACTATGCCTGGCTTTGTCTTCATACTTAAAACTACTTTTCTTACTGATATATTGAGAACATTAATCTTTTGTCTCTCAAATAATTTCATCATCCCCATTCCCTTCTGTTGTGATGTTTTAAGATCCCAGAGGTTTTTTTTTTTAAACCTATGGGATTTCTGTTTTTAAAATGCTTTGAAAGTCCTTTTTCTTGCTGACCACAATTCAGGTTTTTTGTCCAAGTAGTGAACTACTTCTCCTACCACTGTGTGACCAGTCCTTTTTCTGATGTTTCATGATGCTACCTTTAGTATACTAAGGCCCTACTTGTATTAGTGTTTAGGACATTTTCCCCAAGTTTTTGTACTCTAATGTGTTGTCTGCTTGTCATTTGCTTTAAAATAAGAAAACATCCTCTGCTCCCTAAGTCCTGAAAGGTTTAACTTTCTAAATCATACATGGCATTTTTATTTTAGGAAAGAAGACACATGTTGCCCATAGGATACATAGTGAAGAGGACAGTGGTAGGCCACTTTAGGCAAGGCTAGGAGGTTGGTCACCCTTGGGTTATCATATTGCTGTGTACAGTTCTCCTGATTGCATGCTATGAGAATGCATCTAACTAGTTCACCTAGAGTTGCAGTTAGCTGTGGTAGCCACATGTACTAATTACATCTGAAATTAAATAATTCATTTTCTTATTTATATTGGCCCTATTTTAAATGCTCAATAAACACATGGTAACTATAGTGGACAGCACAGACAATAGAGATTTCTTTTTTTGGGGAAAGGATCTCTCTGTAGCCCCAGCTGGCCTGGAACTCACTATGTAGGCCAGGCTGGCCTTGAACTCACAGAGCTCCGCCTGACTCTGCCTCCCGAGTGCTGGGATCGAGGGCATGCACCATGACGACCAGCTGCTAATAGATATTTTATTTCCACCATTGCAGAAGATTCTTTGGGGCAGTGTTGATCTAGAGACCCAGAGACCTAAGGTCATTTACTAACACATTATTTAAGGGAGATGAAGAGGCTCTCCTAGTATCCCAAAATCTGAGCTTTTGTGATTACCATACCTTGAACTAGCTTGCTACTAAGCTGTCTCTACAGCTGGGTTATTTCCTACACACACACACACACACACACACACACACACACACACACACACCTGCCTGCAGCCAGCTGCCAAGGCTATCTAAGATAACCAGATTGTAGCCTACAAGACTCTGCGCCTTGAAAGATGGAGGTTTGAGTCCAAGCACAGAATGTTAGCGGAGAGGTGTCAGGTTGTTTTCTCTATCCTGGTTCCTCATGGATTGGCTTTAAAGGCTATATTAACTCAAGGTTGCAAGTCTCCAGGCTGCTGAACTGTCTTACCCGTTTAGTGAATGCGGTAGTCCAGTCGCAGCCTAAATTCTAGAAAACTCTGTGACGGCTGGGCTGTCCTTGCTATGGGGTAGATGGTCAGTTAATCCTGCAGCGGGAAGACTCCGACTTGGCTGGTCAGGGAGGGCGCCGGCCTGGGACTCTGCACTAACCACTGGAGGAGCTCGCAGCCGACGTCCCCCGCCCCGTCCCCGTCCCCCCCCGT